ATGGTCCCCGGCATGACCATACCCGCAAACAACAACAAAGGTATCGATGTAAACTCCACACACCTGGCGTGGACACGTGTGTGTGTGTCGACACACACTCCCCTGTGGTGACCCCCTGCGGTGACGCTACATTACACACGTTTTATGTACTACACACCTGTTATGTAGGAAGTCGGAAACGACTGGGCTAGGATGTCGGAGATGCAGCTGGCGAAACAGGCGGTCAAGTTAAACCGGCAGCTCCACCGGGCGTACGACATCAGCCAGAAAGCGGCAATCAAGGCGCAACTGGACGCCATTACGGCCGAGTGTGTCCGACGTCGCTCTCAGTCGTCTTGACCGGCCACTCTCAGCGGAGGCCGGCCACTCCCAGCCGAATTTCTATCTCGGTCTTGATGTGCGATACCCTTCCACCTCCTCCCGAACCCGGACCTCCGGACCGGATCTTGGTCTTGGATTTTTGTGAAGTAAACATGGCGAAGAGGTATTCGAAGAATCGTGCGGCAGCGGCTCGGACGCGGGCCGCAGGGACGGTGACGACGACGAGCCAGATGCAGCAGGGTAGGTTGCGTGTGTATACGGATGGCGCGTGCAGCGGGAACGGGTTCCGTGGCGCAGTTGCGGGGTGGGGCGTCTTCTTTCCCGACGGAGAGTTTGCAAACATGTACGGACCGCTCCAAGGTGTGCCACAGACTAACCAACGCGCCGAACTCACCGCCATCGTCATGGCGCTCCGTGCCGCACTCACCTCCATGGCCCCCGCTGTCGTGCTCTACACCGACAGCCAGTACTCCATCAAGTGCCTCACCGTCTGGATCCGTGGCTGGGTAAAAAACGGTTGGCGTAACTCTAAAGGTGCGTGCACAAACGGGAGAGAGTTGCAGGGAAGGGAGCGGCCACGCAGGCAGCACCACGCAGACAATCACGCAGGGAGAAAACACGCACACAGTTGACGCTTTTGCAGGAGAGCCAGTAGCTAACTCAGACCTCATTCAGGACGCGAGCAATTTGTTGGCGCAGCTCGGTAAGCGAATGACTCTCCACCACGTGCGCGGCCACGTCAATGACCCCAACAATGACGAGGCGGACCGGTTGGCCAGACTCGGCGCGTCCGGTCGAGCCCAGCAAGATATAATAGACCTCTCGCTCAACGAGATTCCCTAGACACGCGGACTGGTCTGACTCGCGGACTGGTCTGACTCGCGGACCGGCTTGACACGGGTCGTGAAAATATTTTAATAGCTATGGACATAAATGTTGACGTTGGTGTGAGTACCTGGCGTGAGGACCTCGACGCCCGTGGTCCTAATCTCAATCCCCGCGGTTCGAATCCTGGCGAGGTTGAGGTTAGCAAGCGCGCACGGGCTACGGAAACGGAGCTCCGAAACCGCGAGGGCACGACTCGCTCGGAATGCCGTAGTCGCCGCCGACGTCGCTACGACAAACTCCGAGACGTCCTGATCAAGTACCTGCCGCCGGAGGAGACGGCACGCCACAGCAGGGCCGCCATTTGATGAACGGCAGACCATTCAAATCGTTCGGTGATAAGCCGTATATGATCTTCAGCTGTTTGTCTTCAACCATTGATCTTCATCAATAGTTGAAGGCCACTTGAAGATCATTCGTAA